TGTCTCATTGTGTCACTCAGGTGAGATATACGGTAGCTGCATAATCATGTTTTCAATCTGTATTCTCAGAGATTCTGAGGTACTGTAAACAATCCTTTACTTTTTATGGCTGGGGAATGGGAACTTTTGTTCAAATATGGCTAAGAGAATCATCCCTGGCTAAAAGAGCCTTCTTAAGCCTTGCACACAGGAATAAGAGGACAGTTTTTGCCAAGACCTATCCTAGATCTGGTGATGTTTCCACAAAACAAACCTGCCCACTGGTTAGGCCTGTCTCCCCAGATGTCCCAGCTGCACTCCTGACCTTAGCTCCTGAAACTTACACTCTTCCTCTCAGCCTGCGGCAGGGGGGGACAGGGGGGTGTCACCAATGTGGTCACCCTGCAGAAAGCTGAGACACAAGGGTGGATGGTAGGAAACAAGCCCAAGATTTCCATGTGCAAAGAGTGTTTTGAATAGGACTGCCCCTCCCAGCTCTCCCTCAGTGCACACCCGCTCCTTAAATCATGGACTCATGTAAGTGTGTTGGATACAGCAGTGTCTCCCCACCCCTCCCCCACAGATCCCTGGGAGTTGGAAAAGTTGACTAGAGTGATGTCTTGAGGTTAGTTCTATCAATCCTTTCCCCACATTTCCCACAATGTGTACCATCAGATATTGTTGTAGGGATCTGTGTGTGTGTGTGTGTGTGTGTGTGTGTGTTCATATTCTAGGGTCCAGTAAGTCTGAGAAGTGGTAGGCTAAGTAAAATTACACAGCTATCTTTACTGTGGACCTTCTCAAGGCCTTTAATAAGCTACCTGGTATGGCGAATTGTCAAAAGCCACTCACAATATATAGTCATCTACAAACTCACTTGGATGACCACAGAGTCTTCCTTCCAGGAGCATCTAATAGGACTAGAATTCTAAAGGATCCGAGTTGGGCACGTCGTGAGCAGCTGTCCTACATCCAGCATGTGAGAATCGCTTAGGGAGCTTGTGATTACTGGTCCAACTCCTAAAGATGTTAACACTCACAGACTAAGGTAGAGGCTGGAAATCTGTTTATTAGCTGTTGTTGGTCTTTGATTTTCCCAAAGCTTCCCACGTGATTTTGATGATTATTGATCTTAGGGCTTCAGAGATGCTATACCTGTGACCCTCCTGGGACCTCACCAAAGAACTTATGCCCAAGTCCCTTTGTAGGAAATAACACATTTAAGCAAGAGAGATACTGAAAACTGATGAGGGCCTTTGTGATTTGGGGGAAATTACTGGCCTGTTTCTGTGCCTTTAGAAACCACCTCCTGACATTGTAGCCATCCACATTCGAGTCCACCTTCTGAGCCCACAGAGCTTCCCCCAGCTGTCGTCACTTGTGCCAGTTGGGGCTATTTCACATGTTTCTCTATTTTGTTTCATTTGTCTATATCTCACCTCCCTGCAGGACCATATTCAAGGTAGAACCCAATTATATATTTTGAGGGGATTTCCCCCATAGCACTTTATGCAGAGTTGAACAAATAGTAAATACTCAATAACTGCAGAGAAACCAAGGGACAAAAAGGACTTTGGCACCCACCATCATTTTTAAATGGGCAGTAATGGTTGTTTTATCACTGTGGTATGTATGTTACAATGGACATATTTAAAAGCATAATTTAAAAGGTTAATTCTAAAATAGCAATATGGCCCAGCTGGGCATGGCTCAGCAGTTGAGCGTCGACCTAGGATCCAGGAGATCGGGGATCGATTCCCGGTCAGGACACATGCCCGGGTTGCGGGCTGCAGCCAATCAATGACTCTCTCATCATTGATGTTTCTATCTCTCTCTCCCTCACCCTTCCTCTCTCTGAAATTAATAAAGATATATTTTAAAAAATTAAAAATAATAATAAAATAAAATAGCAATATGTACAATATCTAGAAATTATATCTCTTTAGAAATGTAACTATTCAAACATGAGGTGAAAAATACTTGCTGTCAAGTTAAAATAATATGCAAGGAGGTTCATAGTTCTTCAAATTCTTGTGGGGATATATGAGCAAAAGGTGTGACGGCTGCTGCTCTAGAGAACAGTGTTGGGAAGGCTGGTGGTGAAAAGAGGAGGCTTGGAATCAGGCTGCCAGGGAAGCCCTGGTAAAAATGCCAGCTTCACCCACTCACAGGGTTAAAACCGTGCAGTGCCCGGCACGGAGCCAGCACCCCCTTCATTCAACCACTAGCTGCTGTGCGCGGCCAGTGCGCTAGGCTCCGGGGGGACGGACAGGAGGACTGAGGCACAAGTCCCTGCTCCCACAGGGCTTACACTCTAGCGAATACTCAGTTGATTCATTGTTTCTGTGCAAATGCACTTTTGCCGCATTTCTAGAGAGCCTCTAAAAGTACTTCATTCTTAGGCAATTTTTAGGAACCATTTCTACAAAGAAATGACTCCTTTTTTGATATTCCAGAATGGATCTACCTAGATTTCGTCGTTCCCATGAGAATAGTCACCCGAGGAGGCACACCCTTACTTCAATGACAGGGCCGTCATGCAAAGTCTTTAAGCTTCTCCTGCGGAACTGACTTCAGAGCACACAGCACACTCTTTTGCACATCCCAAATGCTTGTAAATATTTGTCTCTCGAGGACAGATTTGATGTTTTGGGAACAAAGGTTACTCACACAAAGGTCTGGTGACCATGGTGGACTATCAGACTGGGCAGGAATATTATTTGTCTTAAACTCTGGAAGAGCATAAATCAGAAAGTTGGCTTTCTCATGGTAAAGAAGAGGTACCCGAGATGTCATCTATGCCCTTTGCACTGAGGCTGCGGGGACATCCTGGCCATGACAGGGTTGCTTGGCCGTGAAGTTGCTTGAAGGTTCTGTGCTCTCAAACTTCAGGGAGCGAGCTTCCTGGGGCTGTGAGGGGCTGTGGCACCCACTGCTTTAGTTCTGCTCATTGACCCCCCTCCAGGCCGTGCCACCCGGAGCCTAAGCTGGAAGAGCCTGAGAGCTGGAGTCGCTGTCCTAGAAGGACCCATGGACACTCCATAAGGGACCCGCAGTGGAGGAAGCGCCGGGGCCTGTGTCTGCATTGTGTTTCAGTGTTTATTTGAGTCTGTGTCTGTGAGACCTGAGTGTCCAGGGATTAATCACGGTCCACTGAGGGAATGAGTCCGGGGTGGGCAGAGGTGGAATATGAGAGGGGGACGGGCCAGACAGGGACTGCAGAAGCTAGCGAGTGTGGCTGGCTGTCCACTCTGCATGTCGCATCTGCCACTTCCATGTGGCCACAGAGCACGGGCAAAAGCTCTAGGGGTCCTAGAGGGCCCTCAATTCTTAAAGGAAAAATGTTGGGTTGTGTTGGGGGATTTTTCAGTATAAGTTTGCACCATATTTTACTACTTTCTTATTCCTCTGCAATGTTTCCCTGGTACTTTACTTAACAGACACTATGCCATCCCTGTGCCCAGAACTGAGCTTGGGAGACACTGTCTCTGTCCTCAGGCAACTCGAATCTCCTTGGGAGGATAGTGACAATAATACGCATACAGACTGTCTAGGAAGGCTGGACGGGGGGTTTCATTTCAAATGTCAGCTCCAGCTAATTGGCAACTTCATGGGGTTTTTTTTTATCAGATCTAAGACACCATGGATTGTAAGATGCTGTTTTATGTGTTCTTAAGAAAGAAAAAGGTGCTGCCAATTAAATTGTGATTGCTTTCTTATTACTGAGCATGTTTATTTTATACTTATTGAAGCATCCTTTTTAGACTTACTTAGATGTAGTATTATTTTTAACATGCACTGCTCTTCCTCATTCACAAAGTGGAAAATAACAGGGAAGTAAATTGGCTGTGGTTTTCTAAGCTCCTTCACATTCCGAGTACCACCGATTGAAGCACCTTTGCCCTGGAGTTGTTGATGTCTTACTTCCCACACAGTGCTGTTCTCTGTGCGGTCAGGAGCACTAGTGAGGCGCTGTTTTTTACAAGAGTACTCTTGGCTTTTCTCCCAAATCTCTGGCTTCTTTTGTGTAAATTGATGTGCACACAGGTAACAACAACCACAGCACAGCTGCCACCTTGCAACAGTGACTAAACCTATCTCAATTTCTAAGATATCAAACTGGGAAAATATACATCTTAGACTCAATGAAGTATGGATTTTGAGACTGAGTCCAAAAAAAGACTACATTCTTGCCCTGACGGAGTGGCTCATTTGGTTAGAGCACTGTCCCATACACCTAAAGGCTGTCAGTTCTATTCTCAGTCAGGACACATACAGGAGGCAACCGATCAATGTTTATCTCTCACATCAATCTCTCCCCCCACCCCTCTTTCTCTCTCTCTCAAATCAGTAAAAACATATACTTAGGTGAGGATTTTTAAAAAAATTAAAGAAAGACTACAGCCCCGGCCGGTGTGGCTCAGTTGGTTGGGTGCCATCCTATGCACCAAAATGTTGCCAGTTCGATTTCTGGTCAGGGCACATACCTGGGTTCCGGGCTCTGTCTCCAGTTGAAGGCATGCAGGATGCAGCAGATCGATGTTTCACTCTCACATGGATGTTTCTCTGTCTCTCCTTCCTCCCTCTAAAAATCAATAAAAAAATCTTTTTTTAAAAAAACACTACATTCTTGCCATTGACCGATAATTTCCTCCTGTGTAATTTGTAAAACGGAATGGTTTCCAGTGCAACAGCCACTATAGGGAGTCCTCTGTGAGTCTGGAAAGCTGTATGCATGAAGTAGGTCTAAAAAGGTGAGATTTGGCCTAGACAAAAGGAGACCACTTCCAGAGAGGGAAGAACGTGACTTAGAAGGTTCAAGAGCGTAAACAAGCATGTTGTGTGGCCAAGACAGTAGGGCAACCAGGTGTGGGTGGGGTTTAGTCAGGGAGTGTGGGCTATAAAAGCATGAGTTTTTGCTCCAGGAACATAAATTCAAATTAAATTAATGTGCTTCACTTATAGAAAAATAATAAATGGTTCTCATATTGCCATAACTCTCATTTCTTTTCTTACCATAGGTCCCGATGTTTTTAGTTCCAAGAGCCTTGCCCTTCAAGCCCAGAAGAAGATTCTGAGCAAAATAGCCAGCAAAACCGTGGCCAACATGTTGATTGATGACACCAGCAGTGAGATCTTCGATGAGCTCTACAAAGTCACCAAAGAGCACACCCACAACAAGAAGGAAGCCCACAAGATCATGAAAGACTTAATCAAGGTGGCAATCAAAATCGGGATCCTCTACCGGAACAACCAGTTCAACCAGGAGGAACTCGTTATGGTGGAGAAGTTCAGGAAGAAGCTGAACCAGACGGCCATGACCATCGTCAGCTTCTATGAGGTGGAGTACACCTTCGATAGGAACGTGCTCTCCAAGCTGCTACACGAGTGCAAGGACCTGGTGCACGAACTGGTGCAGCGACATCTGACGCCCAGGACCCACGGGCGCATCAACCACGTCTTCAACCACTTTGCTGATGTGGAGTTCCTCTCTACCCTGTATAGTCTGGATGGAAACTGTAGACCCAGCCTCAAGAGGATGTGTGAAGGAATCAATAAATTGCTAGATGAAAAAGTCCTTTGAGTATCTTCCCTCCTCCTGGACTTGGCTGCGTTCAAGTTTCAGCACCCAACGTGGTCTGGGTGAGAGTCAAGAAAACAGAAAAAGACCCTTGTCAAAGACGCCCATGTTCTGTCTTTTTCATCCCTCTCTCTGGTGTGAACGCTGAATTGAGCTCGGGTGTGTTTATCCCGAGCTCACTGATGAAGCCTGTACTTAAAATCACCTTTGTTTGCAAGCCCAAAGGACATTCCATGTACATATTCTAAGCAGAAAGGCTGCCCCGCTCATCAAAGAGAGCTCAGTTCATCGTGTGGAGTGGAAGGAGCCCTGGCCCCGGAGGCAGGGGACATAGGCTTGGTTCCCAGCTCCACCAGTTACGACTCCACCCTCTGGATCCTGGAACCATGATGCCCACCTGCCCCCCAGGGTTGCTGTGAGGATCAAATTAAACGATGTATGTTCACACTTTTGAAAACGCTACTGTGAGAGGGATTGACCTGGATCTAGACTATTAAGCAGCAAAGAACAGAACAATAGTCTCTGGTGGGCTGGGTTTGCAACCTGCCTCTAGATGTACTATTTCAAACAAATTAAAAACGAATCTTAAAGGTGTGAAAAAGTAGAGCTAAAAACTGGGAAAATGTTTTTCAAGAGCTCTGATGTGCAGGTTTATGATCTTCCAGCAGGCTTGGTAGAGTTTCCCACCCATCAGGCAGAAGCCAAGAAGAACTGCGCTCCCTGCAGGACCCGCCTCCCCTCCTCTAAAGGGCACAGCCCATGAGGCACAGGGAGGTTTATTTGGCATGCACAGGACAGTCAGGCAAAGTGAACCCCTATCTGTCTTTCTTGGCCTTTCAGTCATTTTGTGCTGTTTTCTCTGGCTTGTTAATAAATTGAAACTACCCTTCCAACAAGAGGTTTTGGAATTGTGATTCAAAAATAAAATTCCTGCCCTGGCTGGGTGACTACTGGTTAGAGTGTCGTCCCGTGCACCAAAAGGTCTCTGGTTGGATTCCAGGTCAGGGCACATACCTAGGTTTCGGGCTTCAATCCCCAGCAGGGTGCTTACTGGAGTCAACCGATCGATGTTTCTGTCTCACATTGATGTTTCTCTCTCTCCTTCCCTTCCTCTCTCTTTAAAATCAATAAACATATCCTCGGGTGAGGGTAAAAAATAAAATAAAATTCTCTGGAGTTAGATACAGTGTTAAGAATAATGGGATTCAGCCCAGCAGGGCATGGCTCAGCGGCTGAGCATCAGCCTAGGGTCCAGGAGATCTTGGTTCGATGCCCGGGTTGCAGGCTCCATCCCCAGTTGGGAGCATACAGGAAGCAGCCGATCAATGACGACTTTCTCATCACTGATGTTTCTCTCTCTCTCCCTTCCTCTCTTTGAAACAAATAAAGATATATTTTAAAAAATAAAATTACTCTTAAAAAAAAAAAAAGAATAATGGGATTTAAAGGAAGAAGAAAATGAAGAGTAAGGCCTCTGCATGTAGGCCCTCAGGGGAAATAGCCCCAGGGAAAACCATGTAGGGCCTGTGTCCCTGGTCAAGGGGGAAGCCAGCACATGAACACTGCAACTGCCTCCTCTGAATGTCTCAGCCTTGAGTTCACACTGTGGCTTCTGACATCTTTTTGTCATAGTCTTAACAAATATCAGGACAACATATTATCTTATGTGCTCTTGCCCTAGTCAGTTTGGCTCGGTTGGTTGAGCGTTGTCCTATGCACCAAAAGGTCACTGGTTTGATTCCCCATCAGGGCACACGCCCGAGTTGCAGGCTCAATCCCCAGTGTGAGAAGTGCAGGAGGAAGCCAAGTGATGTTTCTCACATTGATGTTTCTCTCTCTCCCTCTAAAAATCAATAAAAACATATTTTAAAAAAGAGAGAGATGTGCTCTTCCTGCATCACCTCCTGTCCCACTTTGGTTCTTTCATAAAATAATTAGCTCAGCCCCATGGTTCATCGAACTTCTGGTCTCTCTCTCTCTCTAGCAGGAGAATCAAGAGATGGTTTGTGGGAAGGTGTGAAACAAAGCTACAGTTGCCATTTAGCCTCAACTGGCTCCCATGTCAACATCAGTGCAAACCATTCAGTTAAGTTCTTCAGCTACCAGCACTCAAAATTGGTTCATAGGAAGGATGTCCAGTGGGGAATAGGTAATAGTTCAGTCAGCTCCTGTTCTCCATATTTGACGGGCATGGCCTAGTGCTTCCTCAGAGACCTAAGGGCTAACAGTGATGCCCTGGGCACAACTGGGCTGGGGAAGTAGGTCATTGGGGCAGAGCTGGTAGAAACTACAGGCAGATGGCTCCCCTCCTCACCCACCCAGTAGGCAGCAAGCACCCCAGCAGTAGCCAAATGAATTTCCACACACACAGTCCTCAATGCCTGCCTTGATGTACTCATCTGATTAAGGACTGCATTCTAGTTTGAGGGCTGGTTCTTTTTTCACTAAGTAGGTGGAGAACTGAAAGCCAGAAAAGAATGGGTGGAACTGTCATCTGTCCATCTGAAACACAGCAGGGCAGAAGGTGGGGATCCCAGGCCGAAGAGGATTGCAGGTTCCCTCCGCTCCACAGGCCACAGCGCAGAGCCGTGGCGGCAAAGGAGGGCTGAACAGGTTCTGACAGCCCACGAGTCTCTACAGGAACTGGGTCCTCCTTGTTCTGCTCAGAGGAGGATCAGCCCTTCCACCAGCAGGTCTCAGCAGGTGCAACAACAGAGTGTAGACCAAAACATCTTCTACCTATAGCCTCAGGCTTCCCCACTGAGGCAGCCAAGTGCCTCTCTACTGCAAGGCCAGCTGGGTGGATCTCAAGCTTATCAACAGTAGTCAGGGGGAGCAGGCTACCCAGGCCCAAGTGCCCCACCATTCCTCTAAACCAACCCCATGTGTATATTTCAACATACCATTGCCATACATATTCAAGTGGTTTCAGCAGCCAAATGAAAAGCTTTCAAATTTCAAATACCTTACACAACAATGTAGTAACCAAAGAAAGATCTCATTATTGGTTTATTCTCAGGATCTTAACCATGCTACTTAGTGGCCCTGAAAAACTGTTTGGGCTGTAAGAAAAAAAAAAAAAAATGTGACAGGCTAGCAGATGCTTTCAAAAACAGGACTCTGTGGATGTGCATTTTGCTCAGAACTCTACAAAATTTTCAATAATGAGAACCCCCAAAGCAAGGTTCGCATGTCTACATGTAAGTGGCACCCGAAATAAAAATGATTTCAAAACAAGGAACAGTATAAATCACTCAGCTGATCAAGCCTCACACAAACCAGAGAGCGATGCCTGGCTGAGCATAATCCAAGGCAGAGACGGGACTTGTTCTTTAAGGGGAGGCGGAGGTGGGGATGGCAGGAGCAGTTTGTCTGTCATCTGGAAACATTGCCGGGTCTCTAGCCATCCCTGAGCTCTCAGCTCTGTCCCCACAGGCAGACACCAGGGGCTCGTGCTGCCGTTCCCACCCCACCCCGTCAGGTTCCTCCATGCGCCTGAACCCTGCAGAGACGTTCCTGCCGGCTGTGCCTGCTGTGCGTCTGGATCACTCTTCCTCCGTGTTTGCATCTGGGAGTCCTAACACCCTCAGCAACTCCAGGTCTCCGCTCAGTGACAAACCAAAATGAAAAGATTTCTCCATCTGTGCATCTCCAGACTCCCATCTGCCCCATCTGTACATTTTTCAGAAGCAAATCAGTACATTCACTGGCTGCTCCAATGCACTCATTTATATAAAAGAAAGCTCAAATCCGGCCTGCATGCCCTCCGCCTCTGGCTTTGGGGCCTTTTTTTTTTTTTTACTTTAACATGGCCTCAGATGTCAACAGCAAAACCAATCAGTGAAAATTCTAGATCAGCCAACCGGCTGCCAAGACATTGCATTAGCAGGAGCCGTCTGGTAATGGACCAGGATCATGAATCAGATGGCCTTGAAGGAGAGGGTTGCCAAGGCCCTCCCAACTCGGAGCCCTGTGGCCAGTGGGTTTCCCTTACTTAGTCTGACTCTGCTACCGGGGCTACAACCCAGACCAGGCACACCTCCTGCCCTTTCCTTAGAGGGAGGTCTTGCTCGTTAGAGGAAAGACTCTTCTCAAAATGGCATCTAGGAATCCCCAAGAGTTCTGGGGTGGGTGAGCTGTAAGGGAGAAGAGTCCATGAGTTTTAAGATTTTTGTTTCGCCCGGCCGGGCGTGGCTCAGCGGTTGAGCGTCGACCTGGGATCCAGGCGATCGGGGTTCGATTCCCGGTCAGGGCACATGCCCGGGTTGCGGGCTTGATCAATGACTCTCTCATCATTGATGTTTCTATCGCTCTCTCTCCCTCTCCTTTCCTCTCTCTGAAGTCAATAAAGATACATTAAAAAAAGAGTTACTCAGATTAGTTTAAAAAAAAAAAAAAAGATTTTTGTTTCATTATAACTTTTAAAAGATTCAAAATCAACACTAGTGCTTTCTGAATCATGTGGGGATGATCACCTTATAGCTGGCGATGCCATCTGGCTTCAGGGTTTGTGTTCCTCTTCCTGTTGACAAAGCCATTCATGCTGATTGATCAACCCAAAGAAGAGAAAAGAATGTAACTTACTATGTTTCTCTGCCTAGGCCTGGGCATCCCCTAGGGGTCTGCAGGCATAGCTGGGCATCTGTGAGTTCTCAATTTTGAGAAATGTTGCTGCATCATGAAAGTATAAGCTTGTAGAGGATGAGTGTCACCCTGCCCTCAATGGTGACTCACTTGTAGGGCATCAAAGGTTGAAGGGGAAACCTGTATCTGGGGGACANCTGGTAATGGACCAGGATCATGAATCAGATGGCCTTGAAGGAGAGGGTTGCCAAGGCCCTCCCAACTCGGAGCCCTGTGGCCAGTGGGTTTCCCTTACTTAGTCTGACTCTGCTACCGGGGCTACAACCCAGACCAGGCACACCTCCTGCCCTTTCCTTAGAGGGAGGTCTTGCTCGTTAGAGGAAAGACTCTTCTCAAAATGGCATCTAGGAATCCCCAAGAGTTCTGGGGTGGGTGAGCTGTAAGGGAGAAGAGTCCATGAGTTTTAAGATTTTTGTTTCGCCCGGCCGGGCGTGGCTCAGCGGTTGAGCGTCGACCTGGGATCCAGGCGATCGGGGTTCGATTCCCGGTCAGGGCACATGCCCGGGTTGCGGGCTTGATCAATGACTCTCTCATCATTGATGTTTCTATCGCTCTCTCTCCCTCTCCTTTCCTCTCTCTGAAGTCAATAAAGATACATTAAAAAAAGAGTTACTCAGATTAGTTTAAAAAAAAAAAAAAAGATTTTTGTTTCATTATAACTTTTAAAAGATTCAAAATCAACACTAGTGCTTTCTGAATCATGTGGGGATGATCACCTTATAGCTGGCGATGCCATCTGGCTTCAGGGTTTGTGTTCCTCTTCCTGTTGACAAAGCCATTCATGCTGATTGATCAACCCAAAGAAGAGAAAAGAATGTAACTTACTATGTTTCTCTGCCTAGGCCTGGGCATCCCCTAGGGGTCTGCAGGCATAGCTGGGCATCTGTGAGTTCTCAATTTTGAGAAATGTTGCTGCATCATGAAAGTATAAGCTTGTAGAGGATGAGTGTCACCCTGCCCTCAATGGTGACTCACTTGTAGGGCATCAAAGGTTGAAGGGGAAACCTGTATCTGGGGGACACAGGCATGCTGCGGAAAGAGGCAGGTTCCCACATGTCCCACCTGCCCTTTGAAAACTGACCAGGTATAGCTACCATACATAAATGAAAGGATTGACAAACCTGTCCTGGCAATCCTAATAGTAAACCTCAAAGGTACAAGAGAGGCCATCGCTGGACACGCCAGGCGCTGCTTGCTGCTCCCAAGGAAGGGGAGAGTGGAGAAAACTTGCAAAGCTTCCTTGCGAAGA